CCCCAAAACCCCAAAACCCCAAAACCCCTCTAGAAAAAATATGAAAATATGGCTTATATTTGTGATTGTATAAATTAATAATTTGTATGTCTTTAAATATTAAAATCGAAATTTATATTACTCAATGATCAGACCTTTAAAACCACGTCATATAATTGAAATTTAATAAAATTATTTAATAATATTTTTCAGCAACTTGCAACTTAAAACTTAGCTTTCAAAATGTCTAATACAAAGGCTGGCCAAGATGACTCCTTAATTTTTGAGGACTATGAATATGAATCTTAATAGTCATTAACTGCTATCAAGAATATCAATCTAAAGAAGAAGATCGAAATCTAGCGTAAGAACTTGATTTTAATATGTTTTTAGCACTTCATGGAAAATTCCGTAAAATGCAAACAATAATATAATAAGATTTGATTAGTAAATCGTTGTAACTTTCTTAACAGAGAAAAAATCCAGTCAAACTTGACTTCGAAAACATAGAGTACGAAGTAACAGTAAGATTAAGTAAAGCAGAGGCCTTACATGAGAAAAGAAAAACAAAAACTCGGAAAATTATCAAAGGTGTTAGCGGATATGCACTTCCAGGTTAGACATTATATATTATGGGATCCTCTGGAGCCGGAAAGACTTCCTTATTAAATATCCTAAGTGATAGAGCTGCAAACACTAGGGAAAATAAACTAACAGGCAAGGTGATGCTAAATGATACCACTCCACTTACTTAAGGGATATTTGGAAGCTTGGCAGGTTATGTAATGCAAGATGATGTCCTGTTCCATCATTACTCACCCAGATAATCATTAAAATTTGCAGCAAGAATGAAATTAAATGAATTTTCAGAAGAAGAATAAGATTAGAAAGTTGAGGAATTACTTGAAGAACTTGGTCTTAAATCTTGTGCTGATACTCCAGTGGGCTCAGTCAGACGCAAAACTCTCTCAGGAGGAGAAAGAAAGAGAACAGCTATAGGTGTAGAGCTGATCACTGATCCATCTTTGATACTTTTAGACGAGCCTACATCTGGTCTTGACAGCTTTAAAGCACTTTAAATTATAAAACTTCTACAAGCTTAAGCTAACAAAGGTAAAACTGTTATCTCTACCATTCATTAGCCAAGCTCTGAAGCTTTTAACCTCTTTGATAGATTAATTTTAATGTGTGATGGTTTTATTGTCTTCTAGGGAGAAGCAATTAAATGTGAAAGATATTTTAATAAGATTGGTATTCCCTGTCCAAAATACGCCAATCCTGCAGATTACTACATGAGAGTACTTACAGTTAATTATCCTAAGGAGAAAAATGACATAAAAAAAGTTATTTACCTAACGTCATCCTATGAATAAATCCTTAGCCCAGTAGTTTAAAAAGAAGAGAAATTTCTAGATCTAGCTCCGGTAGATCCTAGTAAATTCAGAAAAGATTATGCTCCGTTCAGAGTCTAATTAAAGGAACTTTTGAAAAGATGTAGCTAACAAGCTAAAGATGATCCCAGACATTTCAAAGTAAAAGTTGGGCAAACAATTTTTATGTGTCTTCAAAGCTTAGCTATCTTTTGGGATTTAAGCGGAAATGATTTCGTAACACAAAAGGGCATGGTTGGTTTATTATTCTATACTTGCATGAGTTAATTCATGATGAATATGATGAGTTGTCTTCTAATATTCCAGGAAGAAAGACCAATTTTCCTCAGAGAGCAGGCTAATAAGATATATAATGTTGGCCCATATTTCCTAGCTAAAGTATCTTTGGAATTGCCAGCTCAAATAATTACACCTATGTTATGGACAGTAATTATTTATTTTGGTTGTGGATTCGCATTAACTGCTGGTCAATTCTTCTATTTCTACTTAATACTCTTATTATTAGTATTATGTGCATCCTCATTCGGTTACTTCCTATCTAGTATATTCAATCGCGAGACGACAGCTGTGGAAGTAGCTCCAATTATCTTGATGCCTTTATAGTTGTTCAGTGGATTTTACACTAATGCAGGTTATTATCCAGTTTGGATCTCATGGTTCTAATACATATCACCCCTTAGGTATGCGCTTGAAGCTCTCGTCAATAATGAATTCGAAGATCGTAAATATGGCTCTAATGATATTCATATGGTGCAATTCTTGGGTTATAAATTAGGAATCGCTAAGTGCCTTGCTATCTTAGCAGCATTAACTGTTTTCCTTAGAGTATTATCCATGATTTGCCTAAAATTACTTGTATCTAGGTTCCAATGATGCATAAATGAGATGATTGTTGACTTTAAAATTATTTTTAAATTTCCATTAAAATTTCATTCAAAAAATATTTAAAATTTGAAACCACGGGGTTTTGGGGTTTTGGGGTTTTGGGGTTTTGGGG